GAGAATGCAGGGACCCCACCAAGTAACATCAACACAGCAGATGCATCACAGTGGTCATCAAAGGCATTGAAGTGGGCCATGTAGTTCTCAACATACAGCCTGGCAAAGTCAACATGAGACATCACTCGACAGTCAAACAGAGAATAATTGAATCTTCCACCAGGAAGTCTGGGATGAACATTATTTCCATTGATGTTCTCATATTTCAACACTTTTCTAGCTGGCCATCGTTGAAGACGTCCAGATGTGCTCTGTCCCTGAATATTGTGGCTGGTCTTGAGGTTGTTGTATTCAGTGTTGATGCCTTGTTCCACAAATGGACGTATCTGTGGTATGAAGATCTTGTTGAGTGCTATTCCAGCCACAAGCCATCGTTTCTGATTTTCAGTCACACCAAGATGGCTTGGCCTGAAGGTATAATGTTACACATTAGCCAGGGGATTACAAAATTCCCAAAAGATGGCAGTTTCTCAATAATTTATTGCTATGCTGGTTGGAGAGAAGGAATATTACCTGATTACTTTCCAAGTAATTTCAAATGCAAATTACTTATAAAACTCTTTAGGGATGAGTTATTTAAACAAAGCTTAATTTAATTTAAGATTTGGTTTACTTGGCTAAATCAAGGTTGAGGTGACTTGGAGTCCTTTGTCTTCGGGTTACCAAGGTCACCCTCCTCTATTGTTTTTCCTGGTTTTCTTTACATGCAAGATAAGATTACCCTAGGAGGGGGGTAACCCTATTTTGCTTGCTTTAAGAGTTGCCCTTCTAGATTAGGGTCAACATTTTATTCATTAATTAATTAAGCCATGTAAAAGCCTATTTTTATGTTGCTTTGTTGTTCCTAGAAGTCAGTCAATTTGAAAGACCAGGTTGATAACATGTGGTCTTTTAATTCTTCGTATTCAAATTGATTCGTGAACGATACATCACATTTCATCATGAAAAGAAGCATAAAATTAATGTTTAAACACCGAAATGTATCCCTTAAAATATACTCAACCAACCTTGCAAAGAATCATTCTCCTTCGACCTCTTTTGTTTTGATGCTGGGGCGAAATATCCTAATAAGAATTGCCTTTTGGCAGCCATTATTATTCATGCTTAGACCCAGTTTCCTTTCAATTTCAGCTGAAGTGCCTTTTTTCACCTCCAATTGTTTTTTCTTGTACCTTTCTTTTTCTTTACCTATAACATAAGACTTATTTTGCCTAATCTCTTGAAGAGAATCCTTAGCCGTGAGAAAATTATCTGATCTTAGTTATTTGTGTTCAGCTACCCGGACGACTACAAGCGGGTAGTCCGCTCATATTACAAGGGGTAGATCTACGTGCTATCCAGCTATTATTGAAACCCCTGGTCTGGGTAACAGTTTGGCAGCTGGAATAGAACATTCTCCTGACTAATTAATAGGCAAAATTAAGTCTTGTCCAAAACAAAGGTCCTTCTGGATCAGCCACACAATAAATCAAAAGATAAAAAAAAAAAAACCAGGCTCCTCTTTGCCAAGGAAATGGCATGGACTGCTTCTCAAATATATCAGACACAACAAGATGAAATGCAAATTCAATGGTGTCAACTTAGTGGCTGATCTATCGAGCATATATACATGTGTACAGCTATGTCAGTAGAGATAAGTCCCAGAGATAACTGTACAAACCCAACACATGTAAAGGAAGCCCTAGAAGGGTAATCCCAGCTCCATGTTAAAACAGGCTTTATTGGAAATTAGATTACTGGTTTCAATTTCCATCATATGTACCTAAAAAAATTGAAGTCTACTACATGATTTTCTAATAATAATGTTACAAGACAAACTGACCATTCCTTTAACTTACCCAGAGGAAGCTGTAGCCATCTCGTGAATTTTATAATGATGATGAATTACATGTCTTTGACCATCACATTAACTAGCAATGCCTAAATAACAAGATACATTAATTTTGTTATACGATATAAATGACAATCATCTTAAAGTTGATTTAAAGTGATTTTTAACTACAGTTGGACCCCACTAATTTGAACGTGTTTATTTCGAACTCCCTCAATTTCGAACAATTTTTTGTTTCCCTGACGAGTTCAAAATAGCAGGGTTCAACTGTAGATGTACGTGTAATAAAACCAAACCAATTTAGTAGTCCCCTAGTCCAACAAAATTGACAAAAACAACACAACAAACCAATCCAACCTCAGAGCAATATACACATGACTTAAGCACAAAATATGGGAACAGACATGTAACCAAGTCACAATGGCTTTTAAGTTTGACATCCGATTGGTTCAGAAAGGCATGAGTTTTGAAACCAATCAAATAAAGAGCACAGCAATTACAATAAAGCATTTAACCTATGCAAATGCATGTACTTTCAACTCTTGATTGAAAACCACTCTTATCAAATACTTGCAGTCAACTCTCTCTCTTAAGTGACCACTCCATGCATGTGCAGCAAAAAGACTGGTGGTCTCAGTTTTGAGAAAAATATGGAAAATAAGCCAAAAACGGCCTGAGAATGGATCCACTGTAATACAGAATGGGTCCACTTATAGAATTAACCTCTTACTTAAACCATGTGTGAGGGCCAATTACTCAGTAATATTGGCCTGAGGATGAGGGAGTACAGACTGAGCACAGTGAGGTTTGTACAAAAATGACCGAGGGCCATTTGAATATTCCTAATTAGTACTGCACAAGCAAGCTTCAATAGGTTTACTTAGTTAGTAGTTTTTTATATAGCACTCTGGCCTTAAATTTACTGGTTTTCAAAAACATAAAATACAGAGCTAATGATGGCCTTTCTATAGGAACAGTCTGTATGGCAAAATCCCGATCAAGAAAGAACCAATCACAACACTTGGATTTTCTACCTTGCTACTACCTTGCCATATAATAAAGCCAGGTATACCAATGCAAGCCTTATTAATTAAAATGAAGAAAATATACAAAGCTCCTTTGAGAAAATTGTATAAAACACATCACTGTCAGTAAAAGTTTTGTATTGCAATAACATGTATACACGGCTCTAAAAAAGTGCCATCCAGTTGTCTGGGACAAGATTGTAGATTCTCCTTCTGGGCAAGTAACCCTGCACTCTCACTTGCTCAATGCGCAAGGGATCAGGCAAGTCATCTGCCAACTAACTCATCAAAACACCAAATAAGAGCAAAGTTTTAGAGCTACAATACTTGTTCCATTAGGGCAAGCTGGAATTTAATTTTTATTGCTGTCAGATAATGAGTTATCTGTGTCAGAAATGAAAAAAAAATTGGGTGTCACCAACTTCATTTCAGAGATAGAACGTGTAGAAAACTACCCTGATTTTGAAAAATTGGCGCACATAGTTCAGCATGGTCTACAGGAGTTTATAGTTTAAAAAAAGTGTTGCAGGTGAGTCAAGGGAGGCAAACGATCTTAGTCATATTTTGTAGATTGAATTCCAAATGTTGCCAAGGTTTTCACAAAACTTAACCCCTCAAGAGGCATTTGAAACCACCGCACAGATAAACGAAGAGCTAAAAAGAACAGAATTCCATGGTCCACTTTGCCAAAAATTCAAACTTATAATCGATAGTTTTGCTTCATATTTTCGGTAAATGTAGAAAATTAGTAGAAAAAATTATCCATCAAAAAAAAAATAGGGGTCACCGAACGTCCAAGATCATTATTAAGTCCAGGCAAAGCTATAGCAATGGCCATCTGCCCTATCATTGTTCATTTTATTACGTGCACTCCATGCATGACGTGATGTGTGAATTTGCGTGTGCAGTAAGGACGCATAGAAACAATTAGCGCGAACATCCTTAAGAGAGTGGTCATTTAGAGATAGTTTCAATTTTTCACTCAAGTCCAAGTGCTTAATTTCATGTCAGAGTTTGTAGAATACAAAAACAATTCATTTTTTAGCCCCTCCCCCAACAAGTATAGGCCCACTTTTGTTATGGTAGGCTCACCCACAGATTTTTGTCAGGCATAAATGTACTATCTTGTCAGATCAGTTATTGTGGATGATGTGGATTTGACAAAATATGTGACATGCAAGAGAACTTAAGAGACGTTTAGGATCGAACGTTTAAAAAAATTTACATTGGAAAGCATCGGAAAAGTTGATTGATGCATTATGGCCTACATGTATTCCTTATTTTAGCCAACAGGGTCAGGAAAATTTGAATGATGTGGTGCCAGAACATCAGACAAAGAACAAAGTCAACAAAGAGAGGGATAACCTAAACATCATGCTCAAGAGACAAAACACTCAATCAAACTGATGTATAGTCTTCTGAAGAAAAGTGACACCAGTCTCTGACGAAACCAGATCGACACAAGTGAATTTGAACTGAACTAGAAAAACACATTAGGCAAATTACAGTGTGTCAACTTAACAGCAGGAACCATGCAGGCCTACATGTGACATTCTGACATGACATTTGCTATATACTACAATCAAACAGCTCTGCTCCACTTTAAACATTTTCTTAGAACTCAGACAAATTTCGATGTTTTAATATACACAGATAAGAGTTTTAAATAGCTCTATTTCTTTGTACAAATGCATACAAAATTGCAACTCTTCCAGTGCAATATCCCAGCCCCAAAGTAATCATTCTTGGAAGTTTGTCTCGTAAAACTATTCAAAGTGTTTGTGAAGTATAATTTCATAAATTGCTTCCGTTGAATGACAGCAATCTGTCCTAAGCTACTTACAAAGGTTACAATTGATAGTCATTTCTTTCCTTTCCTGAACTGACAACAAATTCTAACAAGTTCTCTTCAAGAGTGATGAACATCTCATAAGTAGAGAGAAAATCAAAAAATACATCTAGTACTATAAGAAATGTAGAAGAGACTTGCACTACTTCTAAAAGTCTGAAAACAGAGTTTCGGCTTTTGAACTAAGTTTAACATGGGTTGTCGAAAATCGCATATTTTAGTCTCATTTGGTCTGTTTCAAGGGAAGCTCCACAATTTAACACAACAGAAAATGTTTTCTATATANCAGGCACCCATCACACTGATAAAACAGTAGAATGTGAAGGAGGGTATGTAGTGGTGGGGGAAGAGCCTAAATTGAAAAAAGTCCCCACACTTGAAGAAATGCTCATGCTTAAGGAAACTCTCACTCCAAGCAAACCACTAAAAGGTACTTTGATCCAAGAGCATGTGGAATCTTGGTGCACGTGCACATCTAAATGCCACTGACTGCAAAGGTAAGGCTGGTAGTCTTTGTTGTTTACTCCATGAAAATGCATTAAACTGTATCAAAAGTAAATAACTACCTAATTAAAAAGACTTACATTCACTAAAAAGAGTTAGAATACCACATTAATTTTACAGTGCATGAGCTAAAAAAAGTTCTCTGCCAAAATTCAGTAGTTAAGCTTGGTCATTAATCACATTTCTCACACACACTTAACTTTTTTTAACATGCAGTGGAATTCTGATTTTTCAAAACTCTGAGGGAAACAAAAATTAGTTTGAAATTTGGGTAGTTTGAGAAATCCGGGAGAATTGCAATGCCCGATAGTGGAAGGGGACAGCTTTTCAGGTTCGAGTTATTGGGTGGTTCGAGAAATCAGGATTCACTGAGTGTACATTTTATGTACATTACCTTTAGTTTCCCAGTCTTTTAGTTCTCCAAGAAGTTTTCCTTCATCTGCAGCTGGAAGGGCCATGACTCTCACTAGGTGTTCCATATCAATAAAACTTTGTTGATACTTGACTTGATCCCATTTGCTGAAGACACAGTGTGCCCAGTCATTTCTCGCCATTCTGACATCAGCTGCAGCAGTTTGTACAGGCGCAGAGAATGCAGGGACCCCACCAAGTAACATCAACACAGCAGATGCATCACAGTGGTCATCAAAGGCATTGAAGTGGGCCATGTAGTTCTCAACATACAGCCTGGCAAAGTCAACATGAGACATCACTCGACAGTCAAACAGAGAATAATTGAATCTTCCACCAGGAAGTCTGGGATGAACATTATTTCCATTGATGTTCTCATATTTCAACACTTTTCTAGCTGGCCATCGTTGAAGACGTCCAGATGTGCTCTGTCCCTGAATATTGTGGCTGGTCTTGAGGTTGTTGTATTCAGTGTTGATGCCTTGTTCCACAAATGGACGTATCTGTGGTATGAAGATCTTGTTGAGTGCTATTCCAGCCACAAGCCATCGTTTCTGATTTTCAGTCACACCAAGATGGCTTGGCCTGAAGGTATAATGTTACACATTAGCCAGGGGATTACAAAATTCCCAAAAGATGGCAGTTTCTCAATAATTTATTGCTATGCTGGTTGGAGAGAAGGAATATTACCTGATTACTTTCCAAGTAATTTCAAATGCAAATTACTTATAAAACTCTTTAGGGATGAGTTATTTAAACAAAGCTTAATTTAATTTAAGATTTGGTTTACTTGGCTAAATCAAGGTTGAGGTGACTTGGAGTCCTTTGTCTTCGGGTTACCAAGGTCACCCTCCTCTATTGTTTTTCCTGGTTTTCTTTACATGCAAGATAAGATTACCCTAGGAGGGGGGTAACCCTATTTTGCTTGCTTTAAGAGTTGCCCTTCTAGATTAGGGTCAACATTTTATTCATTAATTAATTAAGCCATGTAAAAGCCTATTTTTATGTTGCTTTGTTGTTCCTAGAAGTCAGTCAATTTGAAAGACCAGGTTGATAACATGTGGTCTTTTAATTCTTCGTATTCAAATTGATTCGTGAACGATACATCACATTTCATCATGAAAAGAAGCATAAAATTAATGTTTAAACACCGAAATGTATCCCTTAAAATATACTCAACCAACCTTGCAAAGAATCATTCTCCTTCGACCTCTTTTGTTTTGATGCTGGGGCGAAATATCCTAATAAGAATTGCCTTTTGGCAGCCATTATTATTCATGCTTAGACCCAGTTTCCTTTCAATTTCAGCTGAAGTGCCTTTTTTCACCTCCAATTGTTTTTTCTTGTACCTTTCTTTTTCTTTACCTATAACATAAGACTTATTTTGCCTAATCTCTTGAAGAGAATCCTTAGCCGTGAGAAAATTATCTGATCTTAGTTATTTGTGTTCAGCTACCCGGACGACTACAAGCGGGTAGTCCGCTCATATTACAAGGGGTAGATCTACGTGCTATCCAGCTATTATTGAAACCCCTGGTCTGGGTAACAGTTTGGCAGCTGGAATAGAACATTCTCCTGACTAATTAATAGGCAAAATTAAGTCTTGTCCAAAACAAAGGTCCTTCTGGATCAGCCACACAATAAATCAAAAGATAAAAAAAAAAAAACCAGGCTCCTCTTTGCCAAGGAAATGGCATGGACTGCTTCTCAAATATATCAGACACAACAAGATGAAATGCAAATTCAATGGTGTCAACTTAGTGGCTGATCTATCGAGCATATATACATGTGTACAGCTATGTCAGTAGAGATAAGTCCCAGAGATAACTGTACAAACCCAACACATGTAAAGGAAGCCCTAGAAGGGTAATCCCAGCTCCATGTTAAAACAGGCTTTATTGGAAATTAGATTACTGGTTTCAATTTCCATCATATGTACCTAAAAAAATTGAAGTCTACTACATGATTTTCTAATAATAATGTTACAAGACAAACTGACCATTCCTTTAACTTACCCAGAGGAAGCTGTAGCCATCTCGTGAATTTTATAATGATGATGAATTACATGTCTTTGACCATCACATTAACTAGCAATGCCTAAATAACAAGATACATTAATTTTGTTATACGATATAAATGACAATCATCTTAAAGTTGATTTAAAGTGATTTTTAACTACAGTTGGACCCCACTAATTTGAACGTGTTTATTTCGAACTCCCTCAATTTCGAACAATTTTTTGTTTCCCTGACGAGTTCAAAATAGCAGGGTTCAACTGTAGATGTACGTGTAATAAAACCAAACCAATTTAGTAGTCCCCTAGTCCAACAAAATTGACAAAAACAACACAACAAACCAATCCAACCTCAGAGCAATATACACATGACTTAAGCACAAAATATGGGAACAGACATGTAACCAAGTCACAATGGCTTTTAAGTTTGACATCCGATTGGTTCAGAAAGGCATGAGTTTTGAAACCAATCAAATAAAGAGCACAGCAATTACAATAAAGCATTTAACCTATGCAAATGCATGTACTTTCAACTCTTGATTGAAAACCACTCTTATCAAATACTTGCAGTCAACTCTCTCTCTTAAGTGACCACTCCATGCATGTGCAGCAAAAAGACTGGTGGTCTCAGTTTTGAGAAAAATATGGAAAATAAGCCAAAAACGGCCTGAGAATGGATCCACTGTAATACAGAATGGGTCCACTTATAGAATTAACCTCTTACTTAAACCATGTGTGAGGGCCAATTACTCAGTAATATTGGCCTGAGGATGAGGGAGTACAGACTGAGCACAGTGAGGTTTGTACAAAAATGACCGAGGGCCATTTGAATATTCCTAATTAGTACTGCACAAGCAAGCTTCAATAGGTTTACTTAGTTAGTAGTTTTTTATATAGCACTCTGGCCTTAAATTTACTGGTTTTCAAAAACATAAAATACAGAGCTAATGATGGCCTTTCTATAGGAACAGTCTGTATGGCAAAATCCCGATCAAGAAAGAACCAATCACAACACTTGGATTTTCTACCTTGCTACTACCTTGCCATATAATAAAGCCAGGTATACCAATGCAAGCCTTATTAATTAAAATGAAGAAAATATACAAAGCTCCTTTGAGAAAATTGTATAAAACACATCACTGTCAGTAAAAGTTTTGTATTGCAATAACATGTATACACGGCTCTAAAAAAGTGCCATCCAGTTGTCTGGGACAAGATTGTAGATTCTCCTTCTGGGCAAGTAACCCTGCACTCTCACTTGCTCAATGCGCAAGGGATCAGGCAAGTCATCTGCCAACTAACTCATCAAAACACCAAATAAGAGCAAAGTTTTAGAGCTACAATACTTGTTCCATTAGGGCAAGCTGGAATTTAATTTTTATTGCTGTCAGATAATGAGTTATCTGTGTCAGAAATGAAAAAAAAATTGGGTGTCACCAACTTCATTTCAGAGATAGAACGTGTAGAAAACTACCCTGATTTTGAAAAATTGGCGCACATAGTTCAGCATGGTCTACAGGAGTTTATAGTTTAAAAAAAGTGTTGCAGGTGAGTCAAGGGAGGCAAACGATCTTAGTCATATTTTGTAGATTGAATTCCAAATGTTGCCAAGGTTTTCACAAAACTTAACCCCTCAAGAGGCATTTGAAACCACCGCACAGATAAACGAAGAGCTAAAAAGAACAGAATTCCATGGTCCACTTTGCCAAAAATTCAAACTTATAATCGATAGTTTTGCTTCATATTTTCGGTAAATGTAGAAAATTAGTAGAAAAAATTATCCATCAAAAAAAAAATAGGGGTCACCGAACGTCCAAGATCATTATTAAGTCCAGGCAAAGCTATAGCAATGGCCATCTGCCCTATCATTGTTCATTTTATTACGTGCACTCCATGCATGACGTGATGTGTGAATTTGCGTGTGCAGTAAGGACGCATAGAAACAATTAGCGCGAACATCCTTAAGAGAGTGGTCATTTAGAGATAGTTTCAATTTTTCACTCAAGTCCAAGTGCTTAATTTCATGTCAGAGTTTGTAGAATACAAAAACAATTCATTTTTTAGCCCCTCCCCCAACAAGTATAGGCCCACTTTTGTTATGGTAGGCTCACCCACAGATTTTTGTCAGGCATAAATGTACTATCTTGTCAGATCAGTTATTGTGGATGATGTGGATTTGACAAAATATGTGACATGCAAGAGAACTTAAGAGACGTTTAGGATCGAACGTTTAAAAAAATTTACATTGGAAAGCATCGGAAAAGTTGATTGATGCATTATGGCCTACATGTATTCCTTATTTTAGCCAACAGGGTCAGGAAAATTTGAATGATGTGGTGCCAGAACATCAGACAAAGAACAAAGTCAACAAAGAGAGGGATAACCTAAACATCATGCTCAAGAGACAAAACACTCAATCAAACTGATGTATAGTCTTCTGAAGAAAAGTGACACCAGTCTCTGACGAAACCAGATCGACACAAGTGAATTTGAACTGAACTAGAAAAACACATTAGGCAAATTACAGTGTGTCAACTTAACAGCAGGAACCATGCAGGCCTACATGTGACATTCTGACATGACATTTGCTATATACTACAATCAAACAGCTCTGCTCCACTTTAAACATTTTCTTAGAACTCAGACAAATTTCGATGTTTTAATATACACAGATAAGAGTTTTAAATAGCTCTATTTCTTTGTACAAATGCATACAAAATTGCAACTCTTCCAGTGCAATATCCCAGCCCCAAAGTAATCATTCTTGGAAGTTTGTCTCGTAAAACTATTCAAAGTGTTTGTGAAGTATAATTTCATAAATTGCTTCCGTTGAATGACAGCAATCTGTCCTAAGCTACTTACAAAGGTTACAATTGATAGTCATTTCTTTCCTTTCCTGAACTGACAACAAATTCTAACAAGTTCTCTTCAAGAGTGATGAACATCTCATAAGTAGAGAGAAAATCAAAAAATACATCTAGTACTATAAGAAATGTAGAAGAGACTTGCACTACTTCTAAAAGTCTGAAAACAGAGTTTCGGCTTTTGAACTAAGTTTCACATGGGTTGTCGAAAATCGCATATTTTAGTCTCATTTGGTCTGTTTCAAGGGAAGCTCCACAATTTAACACAACAGAAAATGTTTTCTATATAAAGGACAGTCGGAAAGTTTACAGCCCTTAAAACGATAAGTTTGCAATTCAATTAAGCTTAAGCTTAATATATGAAATGAACTTCAAGAACTCCTAGTTGAAGTTCTGTTTACTTCCGGGACAATGGAGCTGAGGACTGAAGCTTATAATGGACAGTATTTCGACCTTTTTGAGCATGGACTTACCAGTAGAAATATGCTTGCTTTAACTTATATTTCAAACCACAAACATTCAGAGAACGAAATTCTTGATTGTATCGAATCATTAAGTCGACACGGCCCTGATCAGCCCCTCTGGATTAAAAGTTCATCATTGTACAGTTTAATAATTGTAGAGCGATCCTTGTACCGAAGGGTCTCTTTAACCAACGAGTAAACAAGATCCCAAAAGCAGGATTCTTACCATGTCTGGAGACACTTACCGCTGAATTATTGCTCAAAACTGCATCAAATACCATCATCGTACGGAGTACGAGGGCCACGGATTTTCAATTCCTTGTAGTGTCACGTGACCCATTTTCTTCCCCAGGGTCCCCAGGCTCAGCCGGCGAATAGCGTGGATTAGTACGTTATGTAAGATTACGTATAATGTCCCGAGAATATGGCTGTAGCACTAGTACCCCTGTATACCTCTTTGTACCCTTGTATACTTTTGTATACCCTTGTATACCTTTGTATACCCCTGTATACCCCTGTATACCCTTGTATACCCCTGTATACCCTTGTATACCCTTGTATCACCTTGCTTACCCTCGTATACCTCTTTATACCCTTGTATACCCTTGCATACCACTGTATACCCCTGTATACCCTTGCATACCCTAATTTACCCCTGTATACCCCTGTATACCCTTGTATACCCTTGTATACCCCTGTGTACCCTTGTGTACCCCTGTATACCCTTGTATACCAGAGTACACAACGGTATACAGGGGTATACAATGGTATACGGGGGTATACAAGGGTACACAAGGGTATATGTGCAAGGGTATGCAAGGGTATACAAAGGTATACAAGGGTATACAGGGGTATAAAGGGGTATACAAGGATATAGAAGTGTATACAGGGGTATACAAGGGTTTACAGGGGTATGCAAGGGTATACATGGGTATACAAAGGTATACAAGGTTATACAGGGGTATACAAGAGTATGCAGGGGTATACAGGGGTATACAGGGGTATGCAAGGGTATACAAGGGTATACAGGGGTATACAAGGGTATACAAGGTGACACAAGGGTTTACAGGGGTATACAAGGGTATTCAAGGGTATACAGCTATATTTTCAGGACACTATGCATAGTCTTACATGAAGTACATACCATGGGTGGTTTCATGAGTGGTATTGTTTTTCTGGCTAACGACCCTGATATGCATGGTCATGGGTTCAAATCCATTGATATCGGGAACTCGGGTTTGTTTTTAATTTGCGCAAGGGTGCAACATGCTTGACATTTTATCCTTCACAAAACACTAAACTTTCAACAAAGTGGTCAAGTTTAATTTTTTGGTCAACAATTAGGGACATCCCATATGCAAGGACCCCATATGATGAATGTCAAAGCATTGTTAGTCGTCAAACTTTGAAAATTAAACAGAGATAAAGTATGCCAGAAAGAACTCTGCATGGCAATCCGTTTGAGGAGAGAGCAAATTAAATGGTTTTAATTATTGTCTCACATACAGGTATTATGATGGTAAAAATAAGTTTGTGTGATATATGTAATAAGTCTGTGCAGTAATTAAAAGACAAAATTATGTGATTTGTGGATTGACAAACAAACCTGTTACATTTAAAAGTGTGTGAAGAGTGAATTTTGTCAAAATCTGTGCATAAAACAGGATCTTAATCCCCCTACCCCTAACCCTGGCAGCCCCCACCCTAACCTGATATTCCACTATATCACTTCTATTTCAACTCTCCCGATTTCATCTAAGTGACACTGGCACTGATACAGTTATACAGTCTGCTGCTTTCACATGACACATCATATGGAAGTATTGTTTCCAGGACCAGCAACAAAATTCTCTATATAAATGGTTATACATTTTAACATTCTGTTTGGGAGAATTGTTTCTGAACACTACACATAATGTACTGGAAGAACATGCAGATATCAAAGATGCCAGACCAAAAAAAACAATAAATCTGGGAAATCATCAAATTTATGGAGTGCAAAGGTATATTTTCAAAGGCAAAAGGGGGCTTTGAATTCCATTGAAAAATATATAAATAAACACCCATTGTTTTGTCATATCCAGGAGATTTGACCACCTGTCGTTATCCACAAGCATTGCAGGTGTGAAACTGAATATATGGGCTGAAGACACCTTTTCCTTGCTTTGACTCCATTTTAAAATAGCTTATCATAATTTGTGGCAATGTACATGTACAATGTACAAATCAAGAAACTGAATGCTTGCAATCTTCTGTCAGTAAAGTGACATTAGTCTTCTCTATTCAGGCTCCCACTTTGAGTCACGCCAAACTTTGACTTTTCCATCTGAAGAAGCAGACAGAAGACAAATTTCTGTTGGGTGATAAGACAAAGAGTACACAACAGATTGATGAGCTTTCTCCAGGGTGTGGATTATCTTGGCTTCCACCAGATCCCAGAAACAGATTCTGCCATCCTCTGAGCCACTAACAACCTGAGCATCGCTGCTACTCAAACAGCTGTCTACTTTGTAGTCTTTGTTCACATGACCTGTAAATCTGAAATATAATTTGAAAAAGTTGTTATGTCAATTACTGCCAGAGGTTTCTGTATTAGCAAATTAAGCCAGAGGCAAAATTGTGTTGAGTTGGAATTTAAAAAGAAGAATTATACCATCCAGTTTAATTCAATAATTTATTTTCCAGAAGACCAAATAAATGTTTTGAATAGCCAGATCTGTAAGCCTTAATTTGATCTAGGGTTTAGGGTATGAGTGATGTAATTGAAATGCACTACACCACTTGGACTGGAGACACCACTGAAGGTACACGGTAACCTTAATCAATAGGTTTATGTTGGTTAGGCATGTGCTTACTAGAGTAATAAACATTTGTTATACCAAGAGGCACAGTTTATATAACTTACTCATTTAGTAATTCCCCAGTGTCTTTATCCAAAAGACGAATGGTATCATCTAATGTTGATGCCAGCACACACTGACCATCCCTGGTAAAGCTCACACTAGTCACTGGCTGGCCAATACAATCTGCTTGCAACTTACCCATGCGAATATCATAGTTACGGACCTTGCCATCGACAGAACTTTCCAGAGAAGGGTGAAAAGAAAAGAGGAAAAATAACACCATGAAAGTTAGAACTATTGACAGAACTAAATCTTGTGATCTACTAAATCTTTTATTCTTCACTTCATTTTATCCACTAAAATCTGTGTTTCAGTCAGCATTATTCTCAAAACAAACACCATACACTGTTACTAAAAAGCTCCTTAAGGAAAAACCCCCTAAAAAAAGACCTCCAAAAGGAGAGACCACAAATGTGATTTGAAATAACATTTAATGATTGTTAAATTATAAATCCTGTAAATAGTGATCCCCTTAATATGTAATAACACCCAAACACCAAATTAACTGTGCATGGGTCTAAATAAAAACAATCTTGTTTTAGAGACCCCTAAATCTGGTAAAATAGAACCAGTAATCTCCTGAAAGTCATGACACTGTGGAGAACATCACAAAACTGGCCCACACTTTCATTGTTTCACAAAGATTTATATTGTCAACTGAAACAAACTTCCTTCTAGACAGATTCTAACCACCTTATTCTTTAATCTTACAAATATAAAATATACACAGTCATCTCTAACACTCAATACATCAGCAAACAAATGTTATTTTCTGACTGGTCTTTAACTCATACTACATGTATACACCTCAATATATTCATACATAAACTCACACTTGAATCTTCTTATCACACCTCGCAGTTATATTAGCAAAACAAAGAGACACTGTATCATTTCGTGCTATTGGAGAATCCATGACAACCTGTAGGTGAATGTAATAACCCTCAATATATCCAAAACATACCCAGAGAGAATTTCATGCTGAGAGACAGCCAGTGAAGACACACTGTCCTTAGCATCATCAAGGATCTGTATGGGTTCAAGACTGCGAGATCTACAATCCCAGCAGCGCACTGTGGCGTCATATGAACCAGATATTATAACGGTGCTGTCTGGCTGGTTGAACTTTACACAGTTTACTTTCTGAAAGTTGACAAATAATGATTTACAGTTATTTGGGAGAGTGGTTTCTCCAGAAGATGTCCATATACAGTTTCAGTTTCAGTTTTTTTATTATTGCACACTATTTACAGAAAAACAAATTAACATAAGATGGTTTAAAATGATATAGGAAAAATAAATACAGATAGAAATTAACTAGAAGAAACAATATTTAATTGTGTACAGTGACCAAATCAGCCAAACTGTCTGATAATAAAAGGAGACTACTTTATGGTAAAAGGTTGGCACATAAAATATAAATTGGCTGTATTAACAGCCTTATGCAACATCTTTTCAGCAGACAACTGAACTTTTGTCTTAACCTGTCTAGATAAAATAGTAATATTGGCACTGGACACTGTCACTAGACAATGACTATCAGTCAGAATAACCATCACTCAAATTCTCCATTATGTGTACTTTGAACTGTGACAACAAAAAGTAGTCATATAAAAACTTGGCATTGTGAACTGAAGGCAATGGGCCAAACTACAGGCACAGATTTTGAGGACTTGAGGAGGTATAATTTTAGTGAAAAACACAGAAGAAATCAAAGGAATTCTCTAGTGGAGTCAAAAGACCATTGGTGAGCAGATAGAATTCTTTGGTGAAGCAAACTGAGTGGAGGGGGACAGGGGAGTGGGAGACTGGGAGAATAGGGGGTGGGAGGCAGGAGAGGAAAGGGTGAGAGGGGTGACATCTCAGAGGGTGGGAATAGGGAGAAAAAAGCAAATATAAATGCCAATTTTTGTCACTTGTTAAGCATTAAAATACTTTCAAAAACAAGAACCCAAAATGTTTTAAGCTTGTATTCAGCATATTTTGAAACTTCTGGACCAATGAGCAAACAAAAATTCTCCCCTGAGCTAAAAAACTAAGGCCTACTTCTGGTAAAATTGGAAACCCTCTTATGGTAGTTATGTCATAGGTCATGAAATGTCGTCGCTTAAGCTGTCAAAAGATGCCAGTAAGAGGAGCAAGGCTGAAAACAAAGGAACAAAATGAAAAAGAAACACATATGTGAGTCTCCTTTAATATTTACAAGGGATTGGAGCAGGATGGATAAGGGCAGGGGTAGGGACATGAAGGTGTGGAAAGTAGGAAAGCAGGGTACAGGAAGCAGACGGTTCTGACCCCCTTGTCCCTCCCCCAGTCCCTTCTTTCCCCTCCCCATTGAGTGCAGATGCCAAAGTTCTTTTAAGGTCATTCCTCACATTTGCATTGTGCATCCTTACTGCGCATAATTTATGGCATCATTAACGCGCGCTTGTGCACGCGCATATTGAAAACATGACAGATTTGCCTTGATATTGAGCTCTGTCAGCTGAAAATTGGCTCTAGCTCACCAATGAGCACAGGCACCCCAATTTTTTTTCCAGTCATTGTAATCAACTAATCATAAGCTTTGCGTGAGAAAAGACTGATCTAATTTCCATTGCTGAAAATTGAATAAAATTAATAAGAAAAATAGCAGATACACTGTGGTCTTTTCTATTTTGCAGTCAGTAACCACTTCAAGAAATTTGGTTCAAATTTTTAATCAAGGATATATATTTAGCTTTCTGCCTGAATCAAACTTAAAATGTTTATTTGTGTCCGACACAACGTATTGACTGTAGTTTAATGCGTGTTCTTATGAGTCTGGGTTCACAAAGGTTTTACAATTACTGGGAATGCGTTCTCATAATAAACATTAAATAATACCAAAATGGGGCATTTTCAATGCCTCACTGCTCCTTAATGAGCACGGGCACCCCCCTTTTTAATTTCAAAATTGAAGTTATCATATGACAAATATTCAGTGGACAAACTTTGAACAAAAATCTATTGTCACTTTTATTTCAGAGGAATTACCTTAATTAGTCTTTGAGGGGTTTTCAATAATGATGTTCCTCAACATAAAGGCGGGTAGGGACTGTGTCAGTACAAATGTTCATGTACCAGTCATTAGGCGTGTCAGTGCTAAGGGCACATGTGGTCTGAGATCTACTCTGTTTGCTTTCCCTGAGACCCTTGAGATAGTCTACGTATGTTTCTGGTCGTAGCCACATGTACACTTACACTGGTGTGTCCTCTGAAGCGGCGTATAATCTGTCCAGTTGCTACGTCCCATTGCACTACAGTCTTATCACCTCCACAGCTAACCACCCTACTGTTATCACTGGATCCTACAGCATCCAGCACCTCATACCCGTGTCCACTGTACGTCTTTAGCAATGTGCCTTTGTGAGGGTTCCAAAGCTTCAGCAGTTTATCGCTTCCACATGTAAGGCAGTAGTTGCCATCATAATTGAATCTGGCCGCCCGAACAGCTCCTTGATGACCTTCTAGATTTCTTGTTTCCTTGCATGGAAGGGGTAAGTCCATTTCTTTACTACTCACTGGTCATTTTCACCCGTCGATTCGTACGTTCTTTCAACGAACTCATCCGCCATATTGTTTTGCTTGGTAGCCTTTCCTTCCCATTTGTTCTTGTTCCCAGGACTCCATGTTGGTCAAGCGCAGCTAAGTTGTAATCAAAGGTGGTTTTGTGCTACCTTGGTGAACAAGTATTAACTGGCAGTTCATTTTTTCTGCAATATAACTTGGTTTTGACAATGTTATTGCTTGTCTGATTTTCTGACTTCCGCTCTGATCATAAATCAAAATTGCATTTGCCAATAATGATAGTTTTCAATCAGCCATAGGTGTAACCTGTGGTCTCCCAGAAAGAGAAAAGAAAAACAAGGCGGCGCGAGAGAGGGAAAGAAGGAGACTCTCACGTCCGCAGAGCTGCGAAAACTCGACGGGAGCTTGGTGATGGAATACCGATCAATATGCATGGTGGCAAAGCGGATTACCTTCCCCACCTACCCCACAGTCCATTATGTTCAATCAGTAAGGCATTCCATTTGCAAGATACATGACCATGTTCTTTTCATTCACAAACAAACGTCTGATCTGATCTGAAGCCTATCTACTCCATTTCGTCTGTCCCTAGCAAGGTATCCCATCTCGGTCCAGGACCATTTCCTTTTCATAATGTGTTGTTGCACAGGTGCTTGTCGTGTGATCTCCCACAAGGTAGAATAACTGATGGTAGAGTGGATCTTAGAGTAACTTCAACTGTTTAACTATTCTGGGAACGACTCGCAACTATAAACTCATATATACTTCCACGATTCGAAAATCGACGAAGAGAAGATAACAGACGAACCTTAAGTAAGTATCGTTAATTTATTTTATTGAAATTATACTTGGCTCTAATACCTTGTTTGGGTAGCTTAATTCTTATAAGAAATCTTAATATCTTGATAACCTCTAACAATAGAAACAGAGAATGATAATCCTGTAGTAATAACGACCACATTATAATGAACAGTGGCCAAGTTATGTAACGGAGAAATCTACTTGAGATTTCATCGACGAAAAATGTCTGACCCTTAATGGAAAGCATTATCAATTCGCACAGTGACATTTCCATGGCGTATAGAGAGGCTGGATCAACAGGTGTTACTATGGAGGGCGAGGTCTTGTTCACGAACCTGAAAATATCGAATTCTTTGATTTCAGTCCTACGCAATGCAGCTAGACCAGGACACGAGAGAAAAAAGTACCGACATTGAAAGAAGAACACGAGAACACGAAAAGCAGGTCCTTGCGCTTAACTCATTTTTTGTCGATTAACGGTTGCAAAATCTTCGGGTCCAAAGGTAATTGACAGGTGTCAAAAGACCATCCATGAACTTGACAAATGTCATTTATTTTTCATATTCTAGTCAAAGAAGTAAGTTTGCAGACCGTTCAAAACTCAGCGGGAATTAAAACAAAATGCGCTATAACTTTATTTGATTAAACACCAGCCTAGATACTGTGTTTGTTCTTATTCAAGTCTACAAAGTATACCATTATCCAACTAAAAACGTGTAAATTCAGGAAATCCAAACTCTGTGATGCAATCGATGGGTTGATCAAATTAGTCATTCAATCGTGAGTCAAAATGACCTCAAGTTTTGGCGATTTTCGTAATAAACCTGAGTGAAATCTAATAGGAGCAGATATCACTACCATCAAAGAAAGCTATCTTGACCGCATCACACGACAATTCAGGTACCGTTTATTGCTTATTGTTTTATACTTTCAAGCTTGCCTACAGCTACTTCCTTAAATGCGATGTTTTCTTTGAGACAAAGCGTACGATCCCTCAGACAAAGCAAACAGTGATATCATTGTGTTGTCTAAAACAAACAACAATGCATAAAGATATTTCATCTTACCTAACTAAGAAGCTTAACGTAAATTCAGTTCCGTGACAGCCATATGAGAACCCATTTCCTTATGTTTTATCATTCTGTGGATTCTTATTTAAGCTTAAACTGAATAAGATATCTTACTAAACTCAGTGGCACCTGCTCTGAGATAAAACTAGCTTCAATTTCATTAAGTGAAGTGGAGAAATTAAGGTTTCATTTATCTCGTTTCAATTCAATGAGATTTTCAACGTTAAGCTTATGTCAATACCTTTTGAACGTTGTCGTTGACACTCTGAATAGAGAAGAGCTACAATTGATACATTTTTATCTTAACTTGTTTTTGAAATTTATCATATTAATATTCCTGGAAACATTTCCATTGGTTTTTGAAAAGTTTCAGTAGATCGTACAGGGGTTCTTTAACACTCTTTAAAATTTGGTAAAATGACCCGTTTATTGATCTTGTCACTACACAAAGAAAGCTTATTTTTTCCCTCTTACAGCCAATTTCTAGTGTACTGTACAGACTTAATTTCGTTTTGAAAGCGTGATCCTGTCACCTTTGGCGATTTTCTCGCCATTCCTAATTTGAAAAGCTGGTCGGGATTACAGAAGGTCCCAATGGGTTTAACTGTCGACCGTCAAATAGCCAAAAAATTAATCGTCCGTCAACCGTCAAAAACGCAATACTTTTACCGTCAACCGTCAAATGAGCAGGCCAGTGTTAGACGTCAAATGTTGCAGATATCCTTAATTAAGAACTAAACGATTGACAATAAACGATCATTTTAATATATTACAAAAATTCATTTATGTGCGAGTCCTTTAATTTCTAGTCTCGAGAGCAAGCGATTAATACGTCCAGCGGTAACAAAGAGAAAGGAATTACCCTGATAAGACACATAGTTGACGACCAGGAAACCTGATTTTTATTGCACAAGTTACAAGGTTAATTGGATAATTCATACATGAGCAAAATTGTATCCTATTATGGAAAATTCCAGCCAAATTTCCAAAAAATTAACTGTCAACCGTCAAATAAACTAAAATTTAACCGTCAACCGTCAAAACGGCATATTTTTAACCGTCACCCGTCAGAGGGACCCTCCCCATTGAGACCTCATTACCCTCCAATGAAATCGTCTGTAAAGATGCCAGCGGTGACAGGCAGCCTCCCAGAAAAAATGCTCCAGCGAGACACCCCCAATTGGGTCTGAAATTAGCTAGATATCCGTTTTAAACAACGATATCAAAATCTTTAAACGAAAGTGAAGGGAAAGAGAAGCCAGTAGCTAGAGAAAGTCTTGCCGGGGGTACTGGTTTCAAAAGCTCCGGTTTCAAAAAGCCATGATAAGTATTTTCAGTGGAGCACGTAAGTCTATAGAAAGCATAGAAAATCGCAGATTTTGGCCTGAACCATTAAGTCACCACGGTTTCTCCAGTGCAAAATATGGCCAAACCTTAAAGAAGAATAGAATGAACTTTATTCATGTTTATTTAAGTGTCGGAGTATTTAACTTAACAAATTGTGAGCACTCCCTGCTGCTGCACTCGCAGGCCGGCCTCTGGAGCAGCAAGAACCAGTCACGGTCTCTTAGTGTCAGCTCCTTCAGCTATATACGTATTGTAATCATTTCAGAAATATTTTCTTCAATCTAAAACGTTACTATTCACCAGAAGAACGATAATTTTGTCTTCGATATATTGTCTTGAGCTATACGTTTCTGCTCAAATGCGTAACTAACAATGCCTACAATTTTTCTTTAGAGGTGATACTCGGTGAGATAGTAACATGAAGGCTATACTCTGGTTGGCAGCCATTTTACTCGGTAAATACAAAGTTTATTAGCTATTTTAATAGTTTTTGAATTAACCGCGGTATGTTGAGAAAAATACCTGGATGTAGGACGAAAGGCTTTTTGGTTTCCCTCCGAGTCATTAGGTATTTACTCTTTTTATTACTTTGCAGTGGCTGTGGCTGATATCTCGGCTAAAAGCATAAAACACCCAAAACAACATAAGTCAGATAAGAAGCGCCATCACGACGAAGGCCATCGCCGACAACCACCTGCGGTGGCTCCTACTGCCGCTCCTGCACCTCCAGGTCCCACTATCGGACCACCCGCTGCTCCAGGCGCCACACCTGCAGTAGCACCAGCTGCTGCTGCCCCAGCACCTGCTGCACCAGCCCCTGCTCCTGCTGCACCAACACCTGCAGTTGCACCAGTTGCATCTACTGCAGCCCCAGCACCCGGACAGGTGCCAGCAGTAGGAGAACCAACCACTGCAGCACCTGCCCCTGCCGCTGCACCTGCAGTTGCCGCTGGAGCAACACCTGTTGTAGCACCAGGTACATCTACTGCCGCACCTGCCCCTGCTGCTGCTCCTGCCCCGGCTGCTGCACCCGCAGCTGCCGCTGGAGCAGCACCTACTGTAGGACCAGGTGCGTCTACCGCGGCACCTGCTGCCGCCGCCGCCGCCGCTCCTACTCCAGCTGCTGCTCCTGGACAGGCACCAGTGGCAGGAGTAGCTACTACTGCAGCACCACCAGCAGTTGGTGCTACAACGGCCGCCCCAACACAACCTGCTGTCGAAGCCGCCACCGCCGCGGGTGCACCAGCTGCAGCCCAACCTACCACTGCTGCGCCTACTGGTAAGCTGATAATTTGATAAGCTGATATTTCAATTTTCACCGGATATTTTAATCTTTATAATTCCGCTGTGTAGAAGCTCTTTTCAGGAAGCTGGTGTCAATTATGTCAACACTGATAGATTATTTTCTCCAGGTTGAGACTATGTTTTTGAAATTGTAATATTTCTGTTTTTCAGCTCGTTGGCTATATTTTAATGTATCGAAAACCTGTTAACCCGACCCTAACACTAAGTAAAAAACTCAATACAAAACGAATCATCATTGCTACCGTCTAAACCGTGGTAGTTCTGGAAATTTATAAAGACATCATGGGAATTTCACCGAGATTGTGTTTTTCGTTACGTCTCCTTCCTGGGAGGACCCTCTATAAACATGACAGGACGTTATCTCTCTTCCTTTTAAAGAATAAACTTTGTCGGTAGGCACCGCTCAGGGTAGTGCTTGAACCTAACTGACTGCTGTTAGAGTCACGCTCTCATCGCGATAGCTTTTGGCGTCGTCGGATGAATTTTCTTTTCTATTTTTCCGGCAAGCACCCTGCTACTTTTTTTATGGGAGGATTCTCCTCTCCTAGTGTTATTGATATTGTACGGAGAAACAAATGTTGATCACTTGGGATTCTTTCAAGTCGCAGTCGTAGTTTAAGTGGGCGTTAGGTCTTGTGGCCTGCAAACCCAGCCAGTCATTAGATTGTGAACAAGCTTTCCTTTCCCTCCCCTTCCCCTCTCTTTGTTAGGCAGCCTTATAAATGCTTAGCCTGTTCATGGGTTTAGCAGAGATTCAAGCCAATGGTGATTTTGGTGACGTTTTTGTTCTCCACTATTTGAAAACGTGATAAGATTCAGTTGCTAGTATACATAATGACGTGCCTAATATCTGTTTAACAATTAAACCTCTGAAAACAATCACATATCAAATAGTGATTGCAAAACAAGGACCATTAACCAACCAAAGCCTGAAGATAATTTGTGACTGGTAAGCGTGGGGAAGGTTAAGTAAGCCAATAGCGTTAAAGGTCAGTTTTGTTCTGTACCCAATTCGCTAAAAAGAGAATATCTTCACTCTCATAGGGAAACCATGTTTACGACGTTTTTCGTCCGATTTTATAATTTTCTACCGTCAATCGTCAGCTTCTCTATGAACAAAAGATAGCTGACTTTTTTTGTTGTATTATTACAGTTCCGCCCGAAATCACACCAAGCCCTGTTCCCGCCAAAGACAAAGTGAATGATAAGACCGAGGAAAAGACGCACGCTAAAACACAGGACAAGAACAAGGATAAACACGAACACAAGGAGGACGAATCTGAGGAGATAGAACCTGAAAATAATGCTGAGGATGAATCTGAGAAGAAAGTAAAGGACAAATCTGAGAGTAAATCAAAAAATAAATCTGCGGAGAAGGAAAAAGACAAACCTGAGGAGAAGAAAAAAGACAAGACTGTTAAGAAGAGTCGTCATTGATAGGACAAATATTTAGTAATATCCAAATCAATGATCCTGGCTTGGACTTTAGAACAAAACCACTAATAAATATAATTTTGTCTGTTTTGGCGTATATTTTGTGACTGTTCTTTTCTGAATCACCAAACTGATCGAAAGAGAAGTAAACCTTTCATGATCGATTGGAAAAGAGTGACTTACGAATGCATCTTTTATTTTTACACATAGCATTTATTTACATAATGCAAGAGGCGCTAGTTGGGACAGCAAAAATACGAAGACAAAGATCATTGCATCGCGTAGTAAAGAAATGGTATAAATTAACACCACGAGTTCTTTTTCCAGTAAAAAACACATAAGTATATGGCAAACTAGTCCAATATGAAAAGGAAAATTCTGATTGGCTCCTTGAGCTTGAATTAAACATGTTTAACTTACACGAAAGAGACCTGTAAAAAGTGAATAAATGCTTTACAAGAAATAACAAGAAAACCTGCGGTGATAAACATGAAGATAAAACGAATTGTTGGAAAACAAAAATTTTCTTTTATTACTTGACGTTTCGTATGTTTCAACATATCTCTTTAGAATGCTTTAGAATGCTCAGCTTTGGCGCAGGCGCGTTTACCGAGAAAGGATCGCGGGAGAGTCATCGTAATGAATACTCTATTAAACGTCCGTATTGGGAAATATTGGTTTCGTTCTTTTTTATGCAAGCTCCTGGCGCGTTCCATAAACTAGGCTTGAATACCAGCTGCTGTTCGGGAAAGGAGCCCGCGCTCCTCTCCCGAAGGGACTTCTCGGAGAGGAACGTAGACCGGACTCGATAGAGCGGCGGAAATCGAGCCTATTCATGAACCGAATTGGACGTAATTTAATCCTTGCTCCTTTTCTAGAGACAAAGCGTAACTTGACTGCTGGAATTTTGCTAGAGTTTTGTCGCGTGAAAAGCCGAACTCAGAACAACTTACAGGTAACTGTCGAGAAACCCACATCCAAAGTAGCAACTGAAGCACTTGACCGAGACAAATTGTCATGAAGCGCGCACAAGCTAGGCTTGGTGTTGATCAGCTCAGTTTGTTTGTGATTGGTTAACAGAGCTCCATGTTAACTGTCATTGGCCAGAGCGCATCACGGCACATTTTTGTATGACAACAAATGTAAGATCATTTCGTCGACAGTGAATCGAAAGCTGCACTGATCAGTAAGCTATCCTCCCTCATTTTCGTCTCTAAAATAGAATAATTACGTACAAAAACAACGAGACTAGTCGATCATCGGGATGCAATTGAGGACCTCAAGTTTAACAAGTTGTGCATAAAGAGGAGTGATCCTCACTGGAAGTTATAATAACGATGTTTTGTGAAAGCTCTCTGTGACCTCTCAAGAACTTTCAAGTTTGTAGATTTCCCACTTTTGAAATATGTTTACCGAGTCAACCTTACTACGTTTAACAGTGGTTGAAATCTTTAAGCAACCTACTTTGTTTAACGTCCGTTCACCCAGCATAAGAGAGAAGGTATATGGCTATTCCCTCTGGATGGGATGTTAGTCCATGGCAGGTCACTCCACAGTCAGGGCAGTTTAAACCACTTAGACCTTCAAAGCCGACTTACAAGCTTCTTTAAACTGTACAGTTCCACAACGTTACTTTTAAGGTTGAAACAGAAAATATAGGCCCACAAACAACCCGTTCACTCATGTACATAATATGACAAGGCAGCAATTTCCAACCCTGAGTTTTTCTTGTGTTCAGATTGTCTTCTGACAGAGTCGGTCACACGGACCACCAATCACGCTGCTCCAAGAGCAAGGAAATTCTGACCAAGTCTCTCGCTCTTTTGATTATCGGATGCGAGGAGAATAAATCCCTTTCGACGAGCACGTCTTCTGTGGCTGTAAACAATCAAGTAGCCTATCAACATCAGACTCGTGGAATGACAAAATTCGACAACTGGAATCAAGGTATCACCTCGAAACTGTAAAATAGTTTCTCCTTTTTTTGTTCTAATTAATCCAACCTGTAAGCCGACACCGTGTGTTTTTCTTCACGACTATCTAGCGAACTCTCTCGTTTACCACGCAGTTATTTTTGTTTTGGTTATTGTCTTTTTGTTCACAGAAGCGCGAGAAGTGTTCCAAACAAACATGAAATACGCGTGTGCAGTTTGTGTTATTTTATGTTCGTTTCTTGCCCTAGTAGGTAAGCTGTTACATGTGATCATGAATGTATCTTTGTGTTTAAATATTGATTGTTGTTGGGTCAAAATACAATGGTAGATGACTGCTTCACCACAAGATACATTTTGTGTAATGAAAAGGAATGAATATAAGTGTAAACGTGTTTGGTTCTTTTACTGATTGCTCGAAATGCTTTGTTTTTAAATGACCTGTGCGTCTGATCCAATGATAGGGACGGGATTCCGGTGAAAAGTAAGTTAAAAAACCTGTTTTGATAGTGGTGTGACAATTCTTTCGACGCCACTTTTTCAGTATTTTCGTCCTCATTTTTACTTGTCCGGGTATCTTAAAAACGCAATTACATGCCCTGATCTTCTACAAATTGAGAGTAGATTTTATACGAAAAAAACCTGGAAGACGAAGAAGGTGTGTAGGAGGAGGAGACGTAGAAGGGAAGGATCTATATCTGGTAGTTATGAACAGCCTGTTGGGAAAAATGGCATGTAGTATCACCTTAAAATAAATTGATATGGTAAAATAGTATGTGATACTGCCATTCCTTTTTTATGTGTCATTTTATTATATTTTTGAAGTTGACAACGCATAATATTGTGTGGCAATTATTCTTAACTGTCCGATTGGATCAAATAATAAAGATAATCCACGATCGTAAGTTGGAAAGTCCAAAATTACAATTTGTCCTGCCAGTTGCTTAAATTTTGTTCTAAATAAGTTGAGAAAATGTGATAGGATGTATTCAATTTTACGACAGGCTCCCCACTTAAAGAGACTCATTTGCAAGGACACACGTGCACATACAAGAAAAAACTATTCGTTGAGTATCATAAGTACTAACTTTGTGATTTATAATGTTGCTTTTTTTTTTTATTTATCATATATTTCTTGTTTTAGATTGCCGTGCAGCACCCAGAGGTAAGGAGTAGGGAGATTGTAAGAAAAATTACTGCAAGTAAAAGACTGTACATGTAATCAACTAAACCCAAAATATTCAACAATGATAATGCTTCCCCAAGTGAAGGAATAGGGGGCCTAAACCTGAGATACTACTCCATCGCAGATTATCCCTCCCACCCCCTGAATTTTGTCAATGCGCCCCAATACATGACGATACCCCTAAACCTGGGCGGAGAAAGTCATTATGTGAGTGGGTATCTTGCCCCAGAACACAGAGGAAAGAAAATCAGCCAAGCTCGAATTCGGGTTCCAGTATAACAACCGCGCCTCCGCTCATAGAGTCATGAAAAAGCCCGCCTGAACCAAACCCTTCTGTTAAAAGTAGTAAAACAAACAAAACAGAGCCCAAGCAAAAACTCAGGTAATCGGTGAAGGTCGGGGAACATTGCGTAGGCTAAGCTCGTAGGCTAAGTTCCTATTCAAAGGAAAATGAATAACAATATTTAGAGAGCAAGCCACATCAGCCTTAGCTGGTTTTTTTGCGGGTCCTCTGTCCTGGTCGAGTTGGAATTTGGAGATGTTTGTTTTTGTTATGGTAGGAAAACCGGAGAACTTGGAGAAAAACCCTCGGAGCAAGGCAAGAGCCAACAACAAACTAAACTCACACGACGATTTGTAAAACTATGACACGACAAGCTGTAAAAAGTAGTTGAAACTGCATTCTCTTTCTTTGCTCTCTGTGGCATAGATTGCCGTGACAAGTTTCGTAACTGTGACACGTGGAAAAGATCCGGCTTTTGTGGAGCCAACTCACATGCGTTCTACCTGAGGAATGGCTGTGCCAGAACTTGTGGGTTCTGTAAAAGTAAGTAATAACTACATGTATCAGCGGACACATTTTACGCCGCCATTTTTAGCTGAACAGACTTTGCAGTGGATAGAGACCGCAACAGAAATTATTAAAACTTCTTTGATTAAAAAATATCCTGAAAATTAACTGCCCAGGATGTTTGCCATTGTAATCCTGGCCATGTTGACAGTACTATGAGAAATATCATCGAAAACAGCATTGTACAGTCAAACCTCTCCTTACGGGCACCTCCATAATGCGGACACCTATAGTGAAGGACAGTTAACTTAGTTCCAACGTAACCACAGAATCAGTGGCGGATCCAGACCTTGAGCTAAGAGGGGAGTCCGGTTTCGTTTTGCTTGCCCTGTCGGCTTTTCTTCCTTCTGTGATTTGTTCTTTTTTTACCCAAAATAAGGAGGGGGCGGACCCCGGACCCCTCCCCTGGATCCGCCACTGAGAATTCATATAATCTCTTCCTCTGTAATACTGCCACCATCGATCATAATAAGGACACTCAGATCTGCCCCTTCAGTGTCCAAATTAGAGAGTTTCAACTGTACCAGTGTAACATAGATTGACTCCGGAATGGCAACTTTGTTTTTTCATAGTCGATACAACGGCAAGTTTTCTTTTTCTATTAACTGAGTTAAATCGGCTCCAGTTGAGAAGCAGTGGCACGTTTTTATGCGATTTGACAATATAGGGCAGAAACGTCATTAGTTAGTGCACGGTAATGTATGTTTTCTTTTTTGCTTCTAATGTTAAAGCTAAGGTAGAAATAGCTTAAGCCTGCATACGAGCCAAGTGGCCCACCAGACCACGGTTTCTGTAGCATGAAGCGACTAGGAGTATTTCTAACACCCCTGGATGGGATGCTAGTCCATCGCAGGTTCACCCCTAGCATTTAGTCCTCCGATACCCATTTGTACACCTGGATGGAGAGAGGCACTGAGAGAGTAAAGTGTCACCCAAGAACACAACACAATGTCCCCGGCTAAGGCTCGAACCGAGACTGCTCGATCCGGAGACAAGCCCACTAACCATTAGGCCACCGTGCTTCCACTAAGGCAGAAAGCTTAAGTGAAAAAATCCATTTACATTTTCCAGGTAACGCTCCACTGGATACCAATCTACATTCTGTTCAAGATGCTCTCTACGCAACACATAAAACCGGTCAGAAAGCGCATAACGGAGTTGTTACATTATCACATAAACAGAGTACCGCTCCTTCACTGGGTGCCCTGGAGCATCAAAAGCTTCATGCTCTACCACCAAAGATAGCCAAGCATCTGAGGACCTCAGACGAATCTGGAGAGGAAAAGCCAGGTGAACTATCGGAAAAACGAACTTGGAAAAGTGTCAGCTAAATACTTACAAAAGAGAACATTTTGTCGTTAGGGTGTCTGAAATTCTTTTGTTTTTCTACTCACATCACACGCGTTGTTAAAAGCCGTCTAGTTGATCATCAATCAATGTTTCTTAAGTTTGTCACTTAGTTTTAAAACCACAGTCGCGGACCCTGTGTGAATTACAGGCCTTCAATTCAGTTAGTCTCAATTGTTACAGAGTTTCAGTTTGTTAAACTTATTAGTTTGACTAAGTACGTGGCCTGCCAGAACCTGTTTTCCTGACTGCAAAGGAGGGCTGCTTGCGGCAAAACAACCCGTTCTCTTACCTGCTAGAACCTGTTTTTCTAACTTCAAATAACAAGGGCTGCTCGCTGCCAATCATTAATTAACGATAGTGGTCAAACGTTATCTCTCCCGGTTTGAAAAATCAATAAATTGTTTGTTTTATTTTTTTTTTGCCGTTCTCTAATTCTTAAAGAGAAATCAAATTTTCATGTCGGGACTAAAGAAGTCAGTCCTTTAAGCCATGTTAATATGTTTTGCTGAACTAAATCAAACTATAGCTAGTATCTGTTAGCGATAGGAAAACTCTGGGGCACCACGGTATGCAATGTGCTGAAAAGGATCGTTTCTGAGTTGCCTTTTGCCTTTGTTTTTAGATGAGTCCGGGAGCAAACCTTTTCCTTTTCAATAGTCATTGTCAAGAGCCTGAAATGCTTTGCGCTGGAGTCGTTTTAAACGTTACGTTAAAAAACAACTCTGCAACAAGATGCACATTTTCGCGCCAAACGGAGACTATTGTTTATATATTTTCGTGCGAAATGGAGGCTATTTGTTTATTTAGTCTAAGGATCTCTATAACTCATTAACAATTCAACTTTTACTGTTTACCACTCACTTTTACCGTCTTTATCTGCTCGTTGTTTATTTGTTGTAGTTATTTAACATGATAACGTTTGCATGCGTTCATTGGTTGCTTGTTTTCTTGCACACGTTGTAAAGAATGCAAAGATAGGTTTGTGACTCAGACCTGTAAGAACTGGAAGGATGGTGACATTTGCATGGATGATCGTTACAGGAAATACTTGACTTACGGCTGCGCCATGACATGTCGCTTCTGCAGTAAGTAAAGTGTTCTTGTTCTAAAGCGGTTTTCAACCTACTGTCAAAACCAGTGATATGACACTGATTTGGTTTTGCTGTACTACGCTCCCTGATTGGTTAAAAATCTCTCGCCGCCTACTCAACAAATCAGATGCGAATGCAAAACCACCGCCCTTGCGCTACCTTGGACCAAAATTATGGGCAAAACTGCCTAAAAATATTAGATCTGCAAAAACTTTGAACAACTTTAAAAGTACTATTAGAAAGTTTAACGTTAGCTCTCTGCTGGACGACGGATGTATGCGTTGTTCTTGCTGTTCATCTATGTAGTTAGTTGTTAAATAACTATTAGGTGATAATATTATGATAGTATTTTTTTAAATTCAATTTTAATATTTTAATATTTTCTTAATTTTACTAAATCTTAGCTGAATACATTTTACTTTATATTTTAGTCTCCCCAATTAGTAGAGCACTTGTGCTCAGCCATTAAGACTGAGACTTAAATAAAGTTGTCATTCATTCATTCATTCACTCACACCTGTATCCAGTTTCCTTCATATCCTTCGTATTCATTGTTTTTACTCTAATACAATTAATGAGATTAAAATGACTAATAATTGATTAAAATACATGTAGCCAAGATAAGACGTTTTATTTATGTCACTTTTGTCAAACAAACCTCGCTCAAGCCGTGATACTGAATTACTTCCATGGCAGATTGTCGCGATACATACAGGGAAAACCCGTATTGTGAAGAGTGGAAAACACGAGGATTCTGTGAGACGTACAAAGAGCAGCTGGAGACCTACTGTCCCAAGACTTGCGGTTTCTGCATCAGTAAGTATTGACTCTTAACAAC